TCTAGTAACATGTCGTGACTTAAACATAAGAACATATTATGGCTAAGGCTACAGTTATACACGTCGTAATAATAATATTAAACACCCTGTCTGCTGACAGTCATCAACTCTTCTCTCTAGTTATCCTTGACCAGATGTACCCTGTAGAAACTCATAAGCATGCCTAAGCATTTAACAGTCTAACTAGACATCCTATCTCCACTAAACATTTCTAATACATAAAGTATCTATCCAATATCTATCTGACTAAAAATAGCTGACAGTTCCCTTTAGTTACCTTTCATAACTTTATTTTCCTTGTTTATTACAGCTGTATTGATGATTGTCCAGAACTACTGAGCTTTGGTCATTTTGAATACATTTGTTTCCCTTGCTTATATATCTTACAATTGTATTGATGAGAATCAAGTGATACTGAGGTAGAAACTGTCTGCTTTAACTTCTGTAGCGACTAGATGTCTGCATCTCCTAGGTGACCAGACAGCCTATTTACATTTTAACAGAGACCTGTTGGCCTGTTTTACACTCGACCCACTTAGCATATTCCAAGATTCTGCTTTGTCTTAGGGTGCCCTGCAGCGCCAGGGGGCTCACAACCTGAGATGACAACCTGGCCAGTTTAGTGTACTTATTAGCATCACACATACAGGGGGCCTGCAACTCAGGCAACAATAACAAAAAACTGTGTCCCAAATCCGTGTTGGTTGCCTGATGACAAACAACTGAAAAGAAAAGGGAAGGGAGCATCAGTGATGGTAGTCAGGACAGGTCCTGAGTTGGCAATCACAAACGTGCTGATGGCTTCTACTGCACATGGGAAAGATCCTGAAGATGTCTGCACCAGACGGTCGAACAAAGACAAAGTCTAGGTCCAGTTGAGAAGACCCGCAGTCATTAGGGAGTGCAATGACAACATGGGTGGTGTGGACCTCTGTGACCACATGCTGAACTTTTATTGCATGGCAAGCAGAACCAAGAAATGGACCATGTGTGTGATCGGTCATTTCTTTGATGTTGCCATCACAAATTCCTGGATCCAGTACAAGTCTGACAGCATAGTGCTTAACCGATCTGCAAAAAACACTGAACAGTTCCTGGACTACAAACTGCATATGGCAAATGAGCTGCTGAACTACCTAGAACCTGATGACCCTGATAAGAGTAGATGACAGTGAGGAGAGCAAAGAAGAGTATGAGCCAACCATCAAAAAGAGGATTCCACAACCAGAAATATTGTTAAGAAAATATGGGGCCAGGCACATGCCAGAGATGGTAGACTGCAACCATGCAGAGAGGTGCGTGTACGCACTAAGCACAGTGTCTCAGTTGCAGACACACAACACCCACGAGTGCTAATCCTCATCTCGGGGGACTTTAACCATGCCTCCCTCCCCCTCTCTGCCACCCTCCCAAGCTTCACCCAGTATGTTAATTGCCGCACAAGGGGCAATAAAACTCTGGACATATTGTATGCAAATGCCAGGAATGCATACACAGTTGATGCACTTTGTCTTAAGCTGAGAAAACAAGAAGCTCCTCTGTATTTGTATTACAAATGTGATTTCTGCTGTGAACCAGGTAGATGTCCTTGTAATGAATATAATAAGGCACAAGGCCCTGTGGCCTATCCATTAAACACACACACAGAGAGTAGATGTGATGTATGTGGAAGACAGGGTGGCCTTTAGTACTCTATCTTAAATCTCTCTTCCTCTTATTTTGTCTCTCTCTCCTTCATTCTAGTCTTAATGATCCACTCTTTGACTCTCTCTTGCTTTCTGTTTCTACCTCTTGCCCTCTCTATTTCTGCATCCTCTCTTCTTTGGTTAATCTCTTGTATAATAAAGAAGTGACCGTGTTTTGTTGCTCTAATATTTGCAGTTGTACAAGCAGGTGGATAAATGTGTATACACCACAACTAATGCAAGTGCTATCTTATAGTTTGAATTTCACCACTGGACACAAACAGACAATAATGATAAATCCAGTTCATTATATGATACTTTCAGCTACACTCATGTCTCTGAATGGTCTGTTTTCAGTCAACTACAAGATTGAGTCAGGCTTAAACTAGACAGCACTCAGAGAGTGTAGCCTCTGCTAGGAGGCAAATCCATGTTCCCATAATGCCATAAAACAATAAGTCTCATTTATTAACATTTTCCTAAGTGTTTTCTTTGTAGTTTGTTCTTATGAAAGGTCCTAAAAAGTCCAATAAAAGGGCCTGGCACTGCAGAGCCATGCACAAAGGAAGAGAAGAGAAAGGAACACTACAAAGAAAATCTAAAGATAGTGGAGCAACAAGCCAAACCTAAGAAAAACTTTAGTGATGAAGTGAAGAACAATGAAAGAGCTGCCATATTGTAGCACTAGGGGGCAGAAACACTTGGTGGGATGCCCCACAGGGCCATGGGGCATTGTGTACTGTATATAGTTTGGGGAATTTTGGAGGGGTAGATAATCGTCAAGCATGACAGAAAGGAGCACAAAATAAAATTGGTGTATTTCCTAAATTGCATTTTTAAGTGGTATAGTATTGTTATTTGTGGAATGCAGCTCGACAAACCTATAATCAAATTAGTTTTTCTTTAAACCCAGACACCAGAAATGACTGAAGTCATTCTTTTGTTATGAAATGTCCCAGTATGTTAGTGAGAGTAACCTAGCAGCTGTTTCAATTAGCTATAAATTAAAACTCAAAATACAGTAAGTCAGCCCTCCATTTTAAACCAGAGTAAGCTTTATATTACCCCAAGATCATTTTCAAACCAGATACCAGGGGGTGCCTCACAGGGCCAGGCTCGCACCATACCAAATAATATATGCAAATTTGTATGGTAGGTTTACTGTCAACAGTCAACTTTAGAGAACACTCAGTCCTATCACTCAAAAGTTAGCTTTGGCTGATTCCAGGTCAGAGGTTTTAGGTATACAGTTTCAGCAGGCACTGTCAAGCTCAGCAAATCCATTAATGCTGTTATAAAACTTGCATAACTGCAGTAGTCCCAAAAGCCCACTCCAAATCAAACAACAGTCCAAGTTCAATGCCGGCAAACACACACAGCCAAGGAATCCAAAAAATGAGAGGTCAGAGAGGGAAGTCCGAAGGGCAATACACAGAACTCAATCAGTACCAGGAGGGCAAGGCAGTAATCGGTGATCAAGGCAATCTGAGGTCAAAATCAGGAATCACAGGTATCAAGAATAAATGCTGTAAAGTCTGCATGGGAGTCAAGAACAATCTGGCAGCTTCCTGGAGGGAGGAAGCTGCCTATATAGGGGTGAACACAGGTGTAAGCGATTGTCATTGATTAAGTAAAGAATCCGTAGCTGAGGTGAAACCAAAAGAGGAGGTGGTGTCAAAATAAGAGCCTGAGACCGGAAACAGTGGGACAGAAGCATGACAGGACTGCTTGCCATTTGTCAATGTTCTGAAAATGTTTAACCCTTGGATGCACAACCTACCAATACCTACACTCTTCCACGAGTGGGGTCAAAAATGACCCCAATTAAAATCAATGCGTTTTTGCAATAAACTAAAGACATTTCTCTCATTTTGGTTAAGATGATATATTTTGTTCAAACAAAAGAGTAATTTCATTTTTGACATGTACATTTTTTACTTTTCATTCACATTTTAGCACTTAA